AACACCTCGACTCTCCAGGGACATATGCAAGGATCCTGTTCGTGGACTTCAGCTCGGCGTTCAACACCATCATCCCGGACATCCTCAGCACCAAACTCACCCAGCTCACTGTGCCAGCCTCCACCTGTCAGTGGATCACAGACTTCCTGACTGACAGGAGTCAGCAGGTGAGGCTGGGAAACATCACATCCAGCACCCGGACTATCAGCACTGGCGCCCCCCAGGGGTGTGTGCTCTCCCCACTGCTCTTCTCCCTCTACACCAACGACTGCACCTCAGGAGACCCATCTGTCAAACTCCTGAAGTTCACTGACGACACAACGGTCATCGGCCTCATCTGGGACGGTGATGAGTCGGCCTACAGACGGGAGGTTAAGGAGCTGGCTCTCTGGTGTGGTCAGAACAACCTGGAGCTTAACACGCTCAAAAATGTGGAGATGACCGTGGACTTCAGGAGGAGCCCCCCCACTCTGCCCCCCATCACCATACTCAACAGCCCTGTGTCTGCTGTGGAATCCGTTTCTGGGTTCCACTATATCCCAGGACCTGAAGTGGGAGCCCAACACTGACACCATCATCAAGAAGGCCCAGCAGAGGACGTACTATCGGCGTCAGCTCAGGAAGCTCAACCTGCCTAAGTTCCAGCTCCTCCCCTCTGCTAGGCGCTACAGAGCACTGTACGCCAAAACCAACAGACACAGAAGCAGTTTCTTCCCACAAGCCATCACTCTGATGAACAGCTGATTTCTGACTCACAGTGTCAGGAACAATTCCTGTGCAATAACCCAGTAACTCTCTCTCTAATCAGCCACCTGTTTACTGGTTTCCACATATAATTTATTTATTCACAATTCTCTATTTCAGTGCTGTTCATACTGTCATATTGTATATACTGTATACCAATACACCTACATCAGGTCATAAGGTCATAGGTCTTATTTATTTTTTCCAGCATCCTTTGCACTATGTTCCATCACACTGTGTACATGTGTACATGTATGTGTACCAGTATATCATATCCACCTTCAACATGTACATAATGAGAATAATAGTTTACTCTTGCATCCTTTGCACTCTGTTCATAGTGTGTATGTTAGTGTTGTCTATACTGTAGTTTGTGTCTGATTTTATTTTATTATTATTTTATTGTTGTGTTATGGTATTTTTGTACGAGTAAACACATCGTGAGCAATGTACAATCCTGAGTCGAATTCCTCGTATGTGTACACATACCTGGCAATAAAGTGGATTCTGATTCTGATTCTGATTCTGATGTCCTTAGTGGTAAGAGACCAGATTGGAAGACAGTAGGACATTGTTGAAAACACAATGGCATGTAGGTAAATTTCAGAAACCGAAAAGGAGAGATATGACCTAACCTTGTTATACACATTGAGTTTCTGATTCAGCTTTTTTGTTAATCTAGAAATGTGTTCCCGATATGTAAGGTGTGAATCAAGTAATACACCAAGGTAGTTGTAGGTCTTTGTGATGACAATTTCTTGGTTTGCAAAAGTAATAAAATTAGTAAAAGAAAGACTTTTTCTGGGTGAATGAAAATACATACATTCAGTTTTCTTTACATTAATGGTCAGATGGTTCTTTTTCAGCCAATCATGTAGCAAGTGAAGATCAATTGATAGTTTATGGATATGGTGATGATGATTAGATAATTTATGACATTAAGGTTTTGAATCAGAGAGAAAAATCACGATATCATCAGCATACAGTAAGCATTTTGAGTGTTTACACACTCGAGGGAAATCATTGATATATAAAAGAAAAAGTAAGTGTCCAAGAATGCTGCCTTGTGGAATGCCCATGTCACAAACTTAAGATTGAGATATAACATGATTAATTTTGACTATCTGCAACCTGTTTGTCAAATAAGAAGAGCATTTCTATCACAGATCAAATGAGTGAAGTTTATTTAACAAGATCTGGTGGTTCACTGTATCGAAAGCTTTACGAAAATCAATGAAAATAGTGATGTGACCTTTGTTAAGAGAGTTACGTAATTGCTCAGTAAAGAGTAGTAACGCCGACATGGTTGATCTCTTCGCACAAAAACCGTGTTGACAATTACTGAGCCAGGTAGGAGCTTAGCTGATTATGCAAGACTTTTTCCAGCAACTTAGACATTGCTGGGAGTATTGAAATAGGTCTATAATTTGAAAGAAGAGTGTGATCATCAGATTTAAGTAATTTGTGCTGTTTTCCAGTCAGTAGGAAAAATACAAAGCCTGATACAAAGATTAGTTAAATGCAGAAAAAGAGTCTTTAAAACTAAGGTGTTCAAACCATAACTATCATGGACATGAGAATTTTTTAGCAGATGCAATATTTGTATCACCTCGTTCTGTGAGATCTCAGAAAATGAGAACTGATCAGATGTTAAGGGAAGATCAGGTGAGGACAAAGAGGGAATGGCAAAATGCATATCCAATTCTTTAAAAGATGATACAAAATAATCATTGAAAGCACTTGCAATCGTTCTGAATCTGAAATAAGACTGCCCCGTTGGGAAATTTGAATATCAACATAATTTTTCTTCTCATTTTCATTATCACCGGTGATGGCCTTAAGGGTCTGCCAAAGTGTCTTTGGGTTCTCAGCAGATTGGGTAATTTGCTGTTGAAAATAGGCCGCCTTAGCCTTACGCAGTTCCAGATTACATTTATTTCTAATTTATATAAAATTATTTTTACTCTCAGATGTTCTATTTAACCTATACAATTTAAGAAGCGAGGCCTTCAATTTAAGGAGTTTAAGTATTTCAGAATTTATCCAAGGTAATTTATTTTTTCTTGGTCAAACCTTGCTGGCAGTGGTATATTTATTTTGTAGTTTATGTAGTTTAGTATGAAATTACGTTAGGATTTGTTCTTGATCTTCTAATGACAGCTCATCATTCCAGTCAGTAGCGCTAAAATCAGCACTGATTTGTCATAGTTTTGAAATTGGTATTTTTGATACAAAGTGGGGAGCATGAGTTTTTGGGGATTTTAAGATTTTTCTTAACTGCATAGATTTCTCCTGTCTTAGCTTCCCTGCATTGGCTTCCTGTAAAATCCAGGATAGAATTTAAAATCCTTCTTCTCACCTACAAAGCTCTTAATGGTCAGGCACCATCTTATCTTATAGAGCTCATAGTACCTTACTATCCCACCAGAGCATTGCGCTCCCAGAATGCAGGGTTACTTGTGGTTCTTAGAGTCTCCAAAAGTAGAATGGGAGCCAGAGCGTTCAGCTGTCAAGCTCCTCTCCTGGGGAACCAGGTTCCAGTTTGGGTTCAGGAGGCAGACACCATCTCCACATTTAAGAGTAGGCTTAAGACTTTCCTCTTTGATAAAGCTTATAGTTAGGGCTGGCTCAGGTGAGTCCTGAACCATCCCTTAGTTATGCTGCTATAGGCCTAGACTGCCGGGGGACTTCCTATGATGCACTGAGCTCCTCTATCCTCTTCTTTCTCTCCCTCTGTATGCAACCTCATCCCATTAATGCATATTACTAACTCGACTTCTACCCTTTCCAGTAGTCTTGTGCTTTCTCGTCCCTCTCCTCTCTCCTCCTATCACTTCCTGCAGGTGTTTATGGCTCTGGAGCTGTGGAGTCTGGATCTGTGGTTGCAAGTCACCTGCTGCCCCCGTGTTCCTGCTCGACACCCTCTGCTACAATAATTGTTACTAGTCCTATTGCTATTATTACTGTTATCATTAACATTACGATTATTGTCAGTAACACTACTATAAATACTGTACCATTTTCATTCAGTCTATAGCAACATCACCTTTACTGTATGTACCTGTGTGTATATTGTGTAGGCTGCTTCCCTCCTCCCTTCCATCCCTCTCTCTTTCCCTCCCTCGGTTTCACCCCCAACCGGTCGAGGCAGATGGCTGCCCGCCCTGAGCCATTGTTCTGCTCGAGGAAGTTTTTCCTTGCCTCTGTCACCTAGTGCTGCTCTTGGTGGGAACTGTTGGGTTTCTGTAAATATCATCACAGAGTATACCTGCTCTTTTATGAAAAGTGCTCTGAGATTACTGTTGTGATTTGGCGCTATATAAATAAAATTTAATTGAAATGAATTGAATTCTTAGAAACCACCAACACATGACATGAAAATTCCTAAGTTTTCCGATATTAATGACTCTGTTATCTGGTTTAATGAATGGTTCCTTAGTGGTTGACACCTGTTCTCGATGTTAAACCAGACTAGCCCCAGTTGTCAGTCCGTCCCCTTGGTTAAATTATTCCATTCAACGTCAGAGAAGAGATCATAAAAAGATGGAAGAAACAATCCTCCAAGTACAATACCTTCACATGAAGGAGCTACTAACCATGCCAAGCAACTCTTAAAAGATCAGAGAGCAGCGTATTTCTCTGGCCTGATCAACAATAACAAGCAAAACCCTATTAACCAACTTCTGAATCCTGCCAATTCTGGATTTCCTGCCACCTTCTCTGACGATTGTGAAAGTTCTTCTTTGGCAGGATCAATGGTTTCTATCAATGGTTCCAGTTTTCTCTCTATTGTCAATCTCTCTCTTCTGGCTGCATACCACACTATTTCAGCCAGTGTCTTCCCCTTCCTCAAATAACTCTCCCTAGATACCACCATTTTAGTTTTCCAGACTTTTATTCTTAAAAGTTTTAATATTTAAAAAATGTTGTCTCCTACCAGCTTCTCCAACTGGTTGAGGGAGATAATGTCTTTGATAAATTTCTGTCAAAAACACAGCACTGAAACAACACTGCTCAAGTAACAAACAAAATTAAAGCGATTTCACACTGTGTTGCTTTGTCTCCACATTTTATCTGCATCTTTAAAAATAATATATTTTTATATAATATCATTTTAAAAAAAATGTAAATTTAGCTTATACAAAAGTGTCAGATGATGCCAGTGACAGAATGTGTCAGAATGTCAGCAGTCTGTTGGTTCTTTTGATTTAAGTCATTATTCTCCTGTTGTGTGTGTTTTGTCATGTGACTATCAGTGATGATCATGACTGGATGGAGAGTCTTGACTGCATCCGAGTGTCACATTCAGAATGTGATCTGAGCAACTCCCTCCGTCCCTTCGACAGGTAGGAACAAGACTCCTCTCATCACTTCAAGGCCTGTATAATATTTATATAATAGTTACTTTACAGTGAGCTGAACATAAATCATATTTATTTGTAATTTCTAATGCCACTCAAATATTCATACCGGCCAGCAAGCTAACACTGTATCATGTCAGCTAAGTGCAGTCAATGTAATGTTATCACACAATAAGCATGGATAAGTTCAACATCAAACAGATAAAAATATTACTCTAACATTGCAGTGGGAGTTTACCTGAGTTTCTTGCTTGTTGTGTGAAGCTCTCTGTGTTTGTCGCTCATGAGTTCAACCATGTGCACGAGCACAACTACTACTATCAGCAGCTACTGCTACCTACTCAGTTAGCCTTTCAGCTAGCCATCCTATTGCTGATTCTGCCTGGACAGGAAGCTTTGTGCTCCGGGTGTGGGAAAACATTAACACTCTCAAATTACCAAGGTGGTTGGGGAAGAAAAAAACTGACTGCTGGAGAAAAACCGTCAAGCTTGACGGTTTTTCAGAAGCAAAATAATAACAATTAAAGCTGCAAGCAGCGTTGGGCGGGCCCTCGCACTTGCAAGCGCGTCCGCGCGTGAGCCGGCCGAGTTGCATATTCTGGAGCTCTGCCGGTGCGGCTGTGAATTTGCTACGCGGTTATGACGCCGCATGAAGGTGTTATATGTCACTTCCTGTGTCCCCTATGTGGAGCTACATAGCACTTGCCGCTATGAATATAAATCGGTATTGGTGTGTAGATGTCTGCGGGGTGGGAGAGTTATCAAGCACGTAAAGTTTGTTTCAGATGTGAGCATGTACACTGAACAATAATGTACCCAAACAATAAAATAAATTCCTTTTATATTTCCCTGCCTTGTTGTTTATGTGTACATACAGAGGAAGAATGTGAGAACAGCACACATTTCATCGTTACTGTGTGCTGTACCGCAGTTCTGTGTCCATGCATGCAGCAAACTGAAAGCACTGTCTGTCGGAGCGTCTACGTGAAAAGAGAAGGAAGACATTGCTGGTAGTATTGTCTTCAGAGTTATTAAACACCTCAGCGCACTGAAGGAAGCCATCTGACTGTGTGAGGGGCAAGATCGTTGATGTCTGCAGGCAGAGTAGGAGCTCTCCTGTCTGACTGGTCCACCAATAGCAGAGAAGATGACCCCTTGAGACACAGCCCCTCCTCATTTGCATAATGAGGCAGAAATGCATACAAAAATTTAAAAAAGACAGGCAGAAATAAATACCATGGGTGAAAATAAATAAGGTAAATAAATACAAAGGAAGAATAAAACAGACAAAAATATTAAAACACACATAAATAAATACATTAAAAAAATTAGTAATAAATAAAGTTGAATAAACAAATAAGGTAATTATAACAAAGGTGAATAAGTAAAGGCACTAATTAAAATATATACATTTATGTCTCCTTGTATAATTTAATTACTACCTACATTTATTTATTTACTTTATTTTTTGTGTATTTAATTGGATGCTTATTTATTTATTGAGCATTTATTTATTTCTGTATTTATTTCTGACTGTGTCAGGATCGGTCCTCCATAACGGGGTGGGAGAGTTATCAAGCACGTAAAGTTTGGTTCAGATGTGAGCATGTACACTGAAGTTACAACAACTTCCTGTGTCATGGCGAAGACTTGATCTCTGACGCCACGCCACGGACACACCCATTGACGAAAACTCGCAAATAGCACAACTTTTCATCTTCAATGCCTTTAGAAGGCACAGCACAAATTTGAAGTCGGTCGGACTAAATCCCTAGGAGGAGTTCGTTAAAGTACGAAGTGTGTAAATCATCCAAAATTTGACGTAAAATTCAAAATGGCCTACTTCCTGTTGATTTTAGGGCATCGCTCCAAGAGGCTTTTTTGTGCGTCTGGACAAGATACACGTACCACAGAAAATTCGTGCACGTAGGTAAAACGTGCGGCGGGGGCTGCTTCGTTAAAAGTCACTTCCTGTTGCCAGCAGGTGGCGCTATGACTGTCTGTGAATGTCAGCATGTACATGTGTTCAGGGCGGGACTCTCATCCTACATGTACAGTTTGGTCCAGATGTGAGCATGTACACTGAAGTTACGACAACTTCCGTGTCATGGCGAAGAGTTGATCTTTGACGCCACGCCACGGACACGCCCATTGACGAAAACTTGCAAATAGCACAACTTTTCATCTTCAATGCCTTTAGAAGGCACAGCACAAATTTGAGGTCGGTCGGACTAAATCCCTAGGAGGAGTTCGTTAAAGTACGAAGTGTGTAAATCATCCAAAATTTGACGTAAAATTCAAAATGGCCGACTTCCTGTTGGGTTTAGGCTATGGCTCCAAGAGACTTTTTTGTGCGTCTGGACAAGATACACGTACCACAGAAAATTCGTGCACGTAGGTAAAACGTGCGGCGGGGGCTGCTTCGTTAAAAGTCACTTCCTGTTGCCAGCAGGTGGCGCTATGACTGTGGGTGAATGTCAGCATGTACATGTGTTCAGGGCGGGACTCTCATCCTACATGTACAGTTTGGTCCAGATGTGAGCATGTACACTGAAGTTACGACAACTTCCGTGTCATGGCGAAGAGCTGATCTTTGACGCCACGCCACGGACACGCCCATTGACGAAAACTTGCAAATAGCACAACTTTTCATCTTCAATGCCTTTAGAAGGCACAGCACAAATTTGAGGTCGGTCGGACTAAATCCCTAGGAGGAGTTCGTTAAAGTACGAAGTGTGTAAATCATCCAAAATTTGACGTAAAATTCAAAATGGCCGACTTCCTGTTGGGTTTAGGCTATGGCTCCAAGAGACTTTTTTGTGCGTCTGGACAAGATACACGTACCACAGAAAATTCGTGCACGTAGGTGAAACGTGCGGCGGGGGCTGCTTCGTTAAAGGTCACTTTCTGTTGCCAGCAGGTGGCGCTATGACTGTGGGTGAATGTCGGCATGTACATGTGTTCAGGGCGGGACTCTCATCCTACATGTACAGTTTGGTCCGATGTGAGCATGTACACTGAAGTTACAACAACTTCCTGTTTCATTGCGAATCATCGACGCCACGGACACGCCCATTGACGAAAACGCGCAAATAGCACAACTTTTCATCGTCAATGCCTTTAGAAGGCACAGCAGAAATTTGACGTCGATCCGACTAAATCCCTAGGAGGAGTTCGTTAAAGTACGAAGTGTGTAAATCATCCAAAAATGGCCGTAAAATTCAAAATGGCCGACTTCCTGTTGACTTTAGGCTATGGGTTCTTGAGGCTTTTTTGTGCGTCTTGATACGATACATGTCCCCAGAAAATTTCGTACATGTAGGTTGAACGTGAACGAGGGGCTAATCATTTCCAATTTTCTAGGTGGCGCTAGCGAGTCATTTTGCCACGCCCATGTGCGAAACTTGTAGAATACGAAATTTTTCACCGGTTCTGACATGTTTGCAAATTTTGGTGAGTTTTCGAGTATGTTTAGGCCATGTCATTTGGGCCTACTTTGCAGAAAAAAAAAAAATATATATATATATATAAAGCTGCAAGCAGCGTTGGGCGGGCCCTCGCACTTGTAAGCGCGTCCGCGCGTGAGCCGGCCGAGTTGCATATTCTGGAGCTCTGCCGGTGCGGCTGTGAATTTGCTACGCGGTTATGACGCCGCATGAATGTGCTATATGTCAGTTCCTGTGTCCCCTATGTGGAGCTACATAGCACTTGCCGCTATGAATATAAATCGGTGTTGGCGTGTAGATGTCTGCGGGGTGGGAGAGTTATCAAGCACGTAAAGTTTGTTTCAGATGTGACATGTACACTGAACAATAATGTACACAAACAATAAAATAAATTCCTTGCCTTGTTGTTTATGTGTACATACAGAGGAAGAATGTGAGAACAGCACACATTTCATCGTTACTGTGTGTTAGAGCATGGGAGAACAGTGGATACTTTTAATACAGCCCACACCCCTAATACTGTGTAACTATAACAAGTAGAGAACAGAAGAAAAAGATGTTCTTTCTTTACAACTGTCTGCATAGCTTATTCATATTGTGTAATGAATGAAAATAAATAGGCCTACTAGGCTCCTCTCTACTTTGACATTTAAGATTAGCTTGTTTGATCCACCTTCATACACATGTGACATTACTGTACAACTTGAGAAAGGTGAGTTGTTTTCTGCTCCAGCCTGCCTAAAAGAAAAGCGTTTTTGGGATTAAATGGACTTTATTAGCTGCTGCAGTGCAGGATGAACTCAGAATAGACCCATTTCTCACCTTATTATTCTAAATCATGCAACGAAGAAGAAGAAATGCATAAGAAATCCTGGGACAAAATCTGTCCACAAATACTGTACAGCATGTAGTCTGATGAACAAGACTTGTGTTATAGCTGACTTGGGCAGTGAAATGTTTAATTTTTTTAATTCATGTGGTCATAGTTGTCCACAACTCAAATCAGAATATAAGAAGAAATGTTTTATACCACCTCAAGAAGGCTTCCTATCAGAAAGGTAGGAAGGTATTTCAAATGTACAACTGCAGTACTTAAATCTAAGTAAAGTAATTTCCCTGACATTTTTGTGTTACTTTACTTTTAATAGACCCATGTAAGAGGTTTTATACTTCCTGTGAGTATAATCCAATCAATCTTATTTTCATACTGTATATCCGTTGTGTAATTTGATAAATTGTGTTGTATGTCGTGCTCGCATCTCAGAGAAGACTCTGACTGCAACATGCGTCTTTGTAAAGAGAGAAACAGACAGAAAAAGTCTCTAACTCTGCCTGTCAGCTCGCTCTGCTCCGTTAAAACTGAATTTACCATACAGAATTGAATACGAGTGCACTCCAGATTTAGCTGCAGCCAGCTGACCGTGTGCTTCTCCCTATACCGCAGTTCTGTGTCCATGCATGCAGCAAACTGAAAGCACTGTCTGTCGGTGCTTCTACGTGAAAAGAGAAGGAAGACATTGCTGGTAGTATTGTCTTCAG